GATTTGAGTTGGGAGAACAGAGCCCATGTTTGAATGTCTAGGTCAACCCAGTTGTCAAAACATTAGTTTTTCATTCATGCTGAACTCTAGTTCATATGCATAAGCTCGTTACATACAGCCACACCCGCATTGAAAATAAAACACTAAACTAAATGGTCAGATCTTAAAGTGCATGGGGAGAAGAAAGATAATAAATAGCAATGCCACTTTGTACTGAAATATCACTTTTCATCTGTAGGTCTAAAAGCACTTAAACTTACCCTGCCTGTTGTAATTGGCATGCACCGTAGGGGATGCAAGAAACTGCATATACGAGAAGTGGATTATCTGGAACGGATGTGGAAGGCTTACGTAGCACTGTCACTCAATACTGCTACATACAAAGATGTCAGCAAAGTTGAAACCTTAGGTGTCTAATCTCAATTTAGGGTTTGTTCATTTTTTCAAGCTTACTACTTCAATCACTCATATACAATTTTTGGAAAAGGGGGGCCAGGAACAGAAGGAAGATTGATAGATTCACTTCCACAAGTGAATGGGGGTTGAAAATACTTCCTTTGGTTAAATGATTAAAAAGCTACCATGTGGTCCAGCTGATTAGCTAGCAATTGCCATCACTCAGAAATGAGCTCATGTAACTTGCTTGACCAGAAACAGATAGGATATAGTCTTAAACTAAGCTCTATTACCAAATAAATATGTGAATACAACCAGGACCGCTTATAAAGTAGACCTACTTTATTGTTCCACCACCACAGCATCCTAGCACTTCTCAAGTGTCTTAAAATAGAAACAAGAACAATCTCTTCATTTTTTCTGACCCTGTATGAAAAATAGATTAATTCGTTTATGATTATCTTTGTTTGCCTGCTTTGTTTGCTTGGTTGCCTATGTGCGTGAGAGAGGACAAGAGCGAGAGGGTGCAAATGTGAAAAAAAATGAGGAAAACCTAAGTCACGGAAATAAGACTTATCTTTACTCCTCATACCAGCATGTGGCTTCTTTCGGCTCTTGCTACTAAGTATCATCGAACTTTTACAGCGCTGGAGGTAGACCGCCTTGTTGGACCCTATTGATCCATAGTTTCGTTGTTCCGGAGGAAGGCAGTTGTTATGAGAAATTACACTTATGGAGGGAGAAGAGATCTCTCAGGCAGACAGAACCAATCCCATGGAGAACCTGATCCAGATTCTGTATGCAGCACAAAGAGCTGGGGTGATGTGATTGTGGTGACCTGTGTTGCTAAACAGACAAGCTGCTGCATTTTGTACCCGTTGCTGCTGCTAAAGGGTGTGGGGCTTCATTATTAAAAATACAATAAGTTGTCATAATAAACACTGGAGATCACAAATGCAGGAGTCACCGTGCCACTTCTGCATCTGAGTGGACAAAATGCAGTCTTCTGGCTAGCCACAGATGAAAGCTGGTGTGTTTTGCTGCCATGGCTGTCTGGACACCCAGAGCAGTGTAGCCTGTGGACCAACTAAATCTGAAGACACATACTGTAGGCAGTGGAGGATGTTATAAACATGTAAGTGCCTCAAAGTGCATCATTCTTCCTACCAACATCACATCAGTCTTAACAGGGTTCAGCTTTAGCCAGCTGTTCTTCACCCAGGTACTGATTTCAGGTAGGCATGGAAAAAGCTGAGAGACAGCGCTGCTTAATATTTGATGTAAAGGAGGATGTAGCACCTGGCATCCTCTGCACATTACTGGCACTTCAGCCTATGTTGTCATGCAAGGCCTCCCACTGGCTTTGTTATAGATACTGAATAACATGGGGAAGAGGATGAGCCTTGGTGGGAATCTAAAGGCAAGGGCTTTAGAAATGGAGAACTAGTGTCTCATAACAACTTTCTGGGCTCAATCTTTATTTAAAAAAAAAAAAAAAGGCCTGAACCATTTTGAAACACTTCTATTCACTCCTATATCCTCATACAAGTGAGACAGGAACATTTGGTGATCAACCATACCAAATGTCACAGAGCAGTCCAGCAGGAAGAGTATGGGTATGTCTATGGACAGCAGGAGGACATCCCCCAAAATAAGAAGCGTTGCCATACTATGCCCTGAAGCATGACCCATCACACTGGCAAGCAGAGAGTATTTAGAGTGTGCTGCCATGCAAAGGCATACTGCGAAGTCACCATGCCAGTTCTGATAAATCAATCTACCAGGTTTGGAGATTGTTAGAGGTGTGGGAGGGGAAGAGGAGAAATAACTAATCTTAAAAAAGTCCAGACTCTCCCCCTTCCCCCCGCCAAGCACCCTTTGTTGCAATACAGACTTCACAAGATGCAATCCACGTGGCTCAAACCAGTTTTACGCTCTACTACCAGTGATGAAGCAAGATCCTTGTTGAGGAGGTTTAGCAATGATTTAAAAACCTTTAGTGCTTTAATTCCAAGGACCTCATGAAACACGATTTCAGACTTAGACGTAAAGCACTGAAATGCTACACTTCCTTTACCAGCTGTAGTGCAAATGCCTTTAATATTATGCTGCAGTCTACACTTTCAATTTACAGATCTCACCTGAATCTTCTGATTTATGAGACTTGTTCTATGCACTACAGAGCAGAATGAAGTCTCATGGTGTGAAACATTCTCTTCATTTGCTATAAGCACCACATCCGAAGACATGAGTGTAACAAGGGACATGCCAGGAGACAGAACTATAAACACTGTCTTTGGTTAAATTATGGAAATGCATTTAGACTACTATAATTCATACAGTCGCCTTTCAATGTTTATTTTATTTTAAAAGTAGCTCATTTTTTCCTTTAAAAATTTGGTGTTAATTATAAGGCAAATGCCAGGTAGAGGATTTTGTAGTGGAAGGTTTCTTTGGAAATACATAAATAAAATGAGAGAGAGAGAGAATGCATGCACATGTGTGTGTGTAGGCATGTGTGTGTGTGTGTGTTAGGGGAAAGGGAGTTGTTTGAATAAGGACCCCTAACTGCTGATGATCATTTTAAAAGTAACAGGAAAGTTTTGGACTCCAAGGACACCCACACTGCAGATTATAGGCAGACCAAGTTAAACTAAAAATAGCTGATTAAGACAAGCAAATGTGTAACAGATGGTACAATATGTTGATAAATTAGGCTGTGGGAAACATACTATCACTTTACTAAATATTTTAAAATTCTTTTGAACTTCTTTTAATGGTAAGAAGTGATTTAATACAAATTATAGCTGCTCTATTATTAAATTTAACATTTTAACATAAGCTGAGAGTTGAATATTGCCATTTTCTAATAGCGTGCAAACAGTTATGGCAACAAAACCAAAAATCCACTCTTTAAACATGAAGGCCTAGTAGAAAAATAATTACTATGTATCATGGTAATAAATAGCACTGAATTCTCAAAAGAAGGTTAATACACCTTAGAGACCTTACACAAATAGCCAACATCCATTTTTATCCTACCCCTCAGCTCTGAGAATTGTAAAACTACATATTTGACTTGAAAGTTGGATAGTATATCAACTCTAACTCATCAATGGGTAAAATGTTCAAAAGCGAATGAATGTCAAACATTTTTCCTATACAGAATACTAGGTTCACTTAAGTTACACATATAGGCCCCAATTCTGCAAGCTGCTCCCAGCAGAAAAAATGCAGGCAGAATCCTATTGTCTTCAATGGGGATTCACATGGGCACGCACTTGGAGCCCATTACAAAATTCAGGTTTCAGAGTAACAGCTGTGGCTCTTTAAAATCTGATCCTGCATAGCAGTTGACTTCAATGGGAGTTTTAGGTGCACAACAAGGAATGCAAAAATAGGATGATCATTGGTTAAACAGGTTTCAGAGTAACAGCCCTGTTAGTCTGTCTTTGCAAAAAGAAAAGGAGTACTTGTGGCACCTTAGAGACTAACCAATTTATTTGAGCATGAGCTTTCGTGAGCTACAGCTCACTTCATCGGATGCTGCAGTTTCCACAGTATGCATCCGATGAAGTGAGCTGTAGCTCACGAAAGCTCATGCTCAAATAAATTGGTTAGTCTCTGAGGTGCCACAAGTACTCCTGTTCTTATTGGTTAAACAAACAACCTAAATGGTTAAAAAAATTCCCTTGTTATGCTTTTTATGTGAAATAACCTTTTAAAAGAAACCTACATGAAGGTTTGTTTAAAAAGCAACTAGGAATCTGACAGTGTTTGAACAGCCAAATAGCAACCATGCACGCAGTTGCAAAGGGTTAATATTCATCGGGAGGAAGAGGCAAATTAAAACATTAGCTTAAGCAACTCAATGATTAATTAATTAATTCCAACGCTGGACTGATGAGAAAATGCAACTAGTTCATTAAAGTAAATGTTCTAACATTTCTCATCTGCCTCTTGTCTCTGAGTGACACTGAAATCTACCTTGAGCCACAATATTTCACTGATTTAAATGGAAACAGGTCTAGGCTGCGGCAGAATGGAATGCCAAACCAACAAACACCAGAAAGATGCACAAGAACTGGGCTATTCTAGATGGTTGGTTCAGTGACAAATCCCCTAATCGATTCATCTGGAAGACAAACAGCGCCTTTCTTTCTGGCATTTTGACATTTGCCTGTTTTCCCCACACAATGCAAAACTTGACTGACTAGTAACGCAGTACATTATTAGCCTCAGGCAAAATAGCCTTATTAGCCCTCCTCCCGCTTCTCTGAGCGCGTCGCCCGGAGACCAGACAGACAGACAGACACACGCCCGAATGGCGCTCGCTGCACGGCGCAGTACCGGGGATCGCAGAGCGGCCAGAGCGCGGGGAGGGTTTTTGTGCTCCGCAAACGGGCGGGATTTGCGCAGGCGGAGCACCGCAAGACGCGGCTTCACTTGGCTGAGCTGCACAACAGCAAACCCCTCCGAGCTGGAGCTGCCGGAGCCGCTGCCCGCTCCGCTCCGCTCCTCGCCCGCCGCAGCGCGGGCTCCCTTCCGCGCGGGGCTTTGCCGAGCCTCCCGCAAGGCTGCCCGGGCTCCTTGCGGGCTCCTACCTGGTCGGTGAGTTTGAGGACTGCCATTCTCCCTCGGCGCGGCTCGGGCACATGCAGCTCCGCGGTCCGGGGGTGTCCGCCAGCTTCAGGAGTTGCGGGCCGGCTGGGGAGGAGAGCTCAACGCAGCCGTGCCTGGGAGACCTGAAATTGACAATCCAGCTGCTCGCTGGGGTCAGGAGGAGCCCAGGAGCCTGCCGCTAACCGAGCCTGCCTGATACAGGAAGTACTGACTGCACAAGCCCAGCTGCCACTGACATCACCCCGTGCACAACACACGCACAGAGCAGCTCTGGGCAAGGACAAGGCTGCCTCCTACTGCTCGCATCTCCCCCAGAGCATCCCTCTCCATCCCCATCCCCCCATCCCCCCCCCACACACAAAAAGACCAGGGCTGCTTCCTGCTGCTGCTCACAGCTGGGCTACCCTCACCCCGCTGCACCTCCCCTCGCCAATATTTTCTTTGTTCCTGTCACAGCCTTGCCCAAATTCCTTCCCTTCCTGCCTGTTTCTCCAGCATGTTGCACTTATAACATTGAGCAGCCCTTGGCATGCCTGGCTGCCAGCCCAGCTCTCACTGAGCTTCCGGTCTGTAGTCGTTAAGGTGGCACTTATCACCTTGGTGTATAGACACAACAGACTGCAAAGCTGTGGTTCTCAAACTCCAGCCTTTAGACCAGTCATACACATTGTCCTAAGGGTCTAGAAAGCACCAGAATGGAGAAGGAACTTAGGGAGGTGTGGTGGGAATGAAGGGAGGAGATGGCCCAGGAGCTGAGTTTGCTCCTACAAAGCAGTCTTTAGAATGAAAGGATAGGAGAAATATTATTTAATGAGTATAATCAGGGAGTTTGGCCCTACCCTGAGAGTTTGCAATCTAAGGTCCCAAGTCTGCAAACCCCTTAGGTACAAGAGTAACTTCATGCACATGATTCGTGACCCCTTGTTGCACATTTGCAGGATCAGAGCCTGAGATTTCATAGTCTGCCTCCAGTGGGACTCCAAGCAGGTGTAAAGGTTAGTTCACACAGAATAGAATCTGGGCTTAAGTTACACACAGTCAGGACAGGCTAATAGTACACAAATACATAATGCAGATAACAGAACCTGGACTGGGATTTAGGAAAAACAGGTTATGTTCCCAACAATCCGTTCTGGCACAGGCTTCCTTGGGCTAGTCACTTAGCTTGCAGTGAGAGATTAACTTAACCTGAAGTGGTAGTTACTGTTGCCCATTCATAAAGGGGGAAAGGAGCCTGAACCTCAGAATAAACAGTAGTTGCCATAGAGCCACTGCTTCCCTACACTGCACCCTCCTGCCTCAGTTGCTTCTCTCTTTGCTTCCCTCCTCCAAAGGGAGTGGAGGAGAATGTGGGACCCCGATAGCCTGGTTGTCTGTTACCCTCCCCCTTAAGTAGTCATTGGCACTGATGGGTAAAATACACGAGAAAAAAGGCACGGGGAAATCAGGCCCTTCCTCTCTCTATGACTCACTTTCCACATCTGGAAAATGGAGATAACGTTTCCCTACCTGAAGCCAGATTTGTGGTGCTTAATCCTGCAAACATTTATTCACATGCTTAATCTTACTAATGTGAGGATTGGGACCGTAATTATGGCTTGAGTCTCTTCTCATTAACACTGAAGTAAAACCGCTGTAGTCCAGATGAAGTCAGTAGAGCTCTGCTGGTGTAATACCAGTAGAAGTTAAAGGAGAATCAGGGTCTAAATGTTTGTAAACTGTTTTTGTCACTGGACAAAAGGCACTAAATGAGTTCAAAAAGTGTTATTTTTATATTATAAAAAAGATCCAGGATAAGTAGATCAAGTGTCAGATTTTGTCATTTTATTATTACTTTCTTTATATCATTTTATATTAACACATGCAATTATAACCCCTTTACGGGGATCCCATAAATACTGATAGCCTGAAAATAAAAGGAAAATTAAAATTTGTACCAGTTTCCAAATTCAGATAATTCTGTATAAGACAGAGGTAGTACTTCTTTTTAAACAAATGAGCCAATGCTTTATTGGTCTAAACATTTTTTAAAAAGTAATCCTTCATTAACAAGCCATGCTCATAATGACTACAGTGTTCTACAATGACCTAAAAACATTACAGGTAACCCAACTGCAAGCTATAACATTTTGGCCCTTTGCTACAGCATGCTATAGGTTTTGTAGGGTTTTTCTTCAAAAATAATAAATAAATAAATAGTAGCAGTACTTACAACAGAAGAAAACCATCCTGATGAGGAAACAAGTGTCAGTTTCAGACTTCCAAGCGGTTACTATAAATGGTGATTTAAAGTTAACAAGCAAATTATGAACAATATTTTGACACTATGCATCATCTTAAGAGTTTTTCCAAAAATTATAAATCAATAAAAATTGATAAAATTGATTAAAAAAACCCCACAACCCTGTAGCTGTTAGGAATTTGAGACTTCTGCTAGGCAATTTTCTTCGAAAATTTCATTCCCTTATGGTCTTTGTCATGCCGGAATACCTACAGTACTGAGCTTGCATCAGCAGTTTTGTTGTGTGTCAAAACATATGTTAAGAAGGGCCATTGGCAAGACTGCAATGCTGTCCAATAGAGAGCTGGGCCCTTTCTGTATCTCACTGATTTTAACTAGAGCTACTACTTTGACAGCTAATTCACAGACTTTGTTGAAATACCCACTTATCACACAGTGATCAAAAGTAAGCATGTCAAAGAAACTTCTATCTGAGAGCAAGCAGAAAAACTTAGCCTTTATTTTAAGTGAGGATCTGTCACTATTCCAATTATAAACTCCCATTCTCAGGTACTTAGAATGTTTGCTCGAAGGTGAAATTTGGTAGATACATAAGGAGCTTGTTTTTTGGAGCTGTTAAGCACACAGCTCCTTCTGGGCCAGATCCCCAGCTACTAGAATTCAGCATAGTTCCCTTGAAGTCAGTGGAAGTTTGCTGCCAATCAGTTTGAATGGAATTTGCTGATTCATGCTAGCTGAATGAACTTCTGAAAATCAGGCCCAGCTTCTCTGCCTGTAGAAATCATTGCAAAGCAATGGGGGTGTAATGTGCTATTGGTGGCCTGCTTTATTCAGAAAGCTGGCACAGAGGTTGCACACTGCACTAGCAGTAGCTTCTGCGTGCCCAACCAGCTTATCAAGTAACACATGATGTAGTCGTTTACCTTAAAGGTAATGAACGTATGGATGACTGTGGTGAGGTCTTCATCTGAGATGTCAGGGCTCAATCTCTTGGCCTTCCCAAGATCGACAAAGATATTTTTGGCACTGTTGCATTTTAGGGACATAGGAACTTACAGAGATGAGCCTATCAAGACTTGAGATTTTGAGTCACTTGGACAATAAATATGCAGATGCTTTCAATTTACAGAACAGTTAGAGACTTTGCTAGATTTTCAAGATTCTTATTAGCTTTCCTCCAGGGCCCTAATTTCTGCCAAACACTGGGAAGGCCGGGAGATGGCTATATCTCAGTTTCAGGAAGAGACAAGATTTCACCAGTATGACATCATAAGCCATGCCACTTCTCACCCAGCATCTTCACACAGATATCAAAGAAAAGGGGTGATAGGACTGAGCCTTGCAGGACTTCATTCCTGAGAGTCCTGAGGAGAGTAAAATCACTTCACAATAACTTCTGGTAATTACCCTGAAAGTACAGACCAGGAACTACTCTAAGGTGATTCCAACCACCCCTGCCAGTTGGTCCCACAGTTGTGTTAACAACACTTCATGAACAGTGAAATCCAAGGCTTCTGATAGACCATGTGGCATCAGCAAGGATGCCTGCCCACCCTCTATTTAGTCTGGAGAGATTTTGTTGATCACAGTGAATAACACCATCTCTATGCTATGCCTAGGTCTGAGCCCTGGCTGGTTGGGATCCAATGAAGCTGCAGATGTCAAATAATGTTGGAATTAGTGCACTACTACCTCCTCTGTGGTCTTTTCCGGAAAGGGGAGGTTAGAGACTGGAGGATAGTGGACAAAGACACTGGCATTTCATAGAATCATAGGACCTCGAGAGGTCATCTGGTCCAGTCCCCTGAACTTGTGGCAGGACTAAGTATTATCTGCACCATCCCTGACAGGTATTTGTCCAACTTGCTTTTAAAAGTCTCCAGTTATGGAGATTCCACAACCTCCCTAGGCAATTTATTCCAGTGCTTAACCACCCTGACAGTTAGGAATTTTTCCCAAATGTCCAACCTAAACCTCCCTTGCTGTAATTTAAGCCTGTTGCTTCTTGTCCTATCCTCAGAGGTTAAGAAGAACAATTTTTCTCCCTCCTCCTTGTAACAACCTTTTATGTACTTGAAAACTGTTACCATGTCCCCTCTCAGTCTTCTTTTTAGGGTTGGTTTCTTGAGCAAAGGCCACATTGTCGTTTGTTTGTGAGTTGCTGATAGGTTGCCTTCCTTTAATGAGACATTAACAATTTCCTGCAAGATAGGTGTTCCCCACTGGCTTTAACTAGCCAGTCTGGGTTCAATTTGCAGTGAAAGGCCTAAAATGCCCTCAGTGCATACGTGACCTCTGCCTGGGAAGTTGGAAGACACTTAGGAAGGAAGGATGGTGCATTTGTTCCCACTCGCCCTGATGCTGCCCTACCCTGGCTCCTGAGAGAATTCCCAGAATCCAGTCAATCTTATTTGTGAAATGAGAACACACACAGTTACATTTTCAAATAACAGAATAGGAATATAAACCCTCATGCTTTAGAGCATAAGGCAATGGCTGACAGTGGGTTGGTTAGGAAGGAATTCGCTGTTGGGCTGTTCATTTCTTAACAGTCCACTATGGGAATTTTTACAGTTTCTAACATATCTCGTGATGGCTGCAGTCAGAGACCCGGTACTGAACCGTATAAACTAATGCTCTGACTTAGTTTAGAAATTGCTATTTTTAAATAAATATGAAGTTTCTCAACACCAGAAACGGTCCCTGCTGAAACTGAATGGAGGTGATTTTTGAATATGAGCTTCCTCATTCAGGCCCTAATTCAGGAAAGCACTTGAGCACGTGCTTAAATCCACGTTTACTCAGGATAGCACTTACGAATGGGCTTAGTTTTAAGCATGTTTAATTCCCATTGATTTCAATGGAACTTAAGAACATGCTTGTCCTGAATGGGGATGCTTTGCTAAATCAAGAACTCTGACCCCACTTTCACATGGACCTGGAATGCAATCTTGTTTAGGGCCCTAGCCTAGGACCCAGAAGACCCGAGTTCAGATAGACCTGCTCTCCCACAAACTT